GGGGGGGGGCGTGCTTTGCGGGCCATGCTTTGGAGTGGCATTTCTCTGCGGACCACCAAAATTTTCCTGCGGACCGCCAGTGGGACGCGGCCCACCGGTTGGCAACTGCTGGCTTAGAGAGGGCTGTAAAGCACTGTGAAGCGGTATATAATAAGTCTAAATGCTATTGCTGTTCTGACAGTTCACCTCAACTTTGTGCCAATCTACAAGTATAATTTAGTGAGTAAAGAAGAGTCCTTGAGAGAATCTCGTTAGACTTTGCAATGCAGACCTGACAACAGGAAATGAGTTGTTTCCCTCTGTTTACATATGATATAAAATGGCATGCCACTGGAAAGCCCAAATAAATATACAAACTCTTAAGACCGCTCTATATAAAAAAACAAATCCATAAAAGAGAGGCTTGCCTGTGTGGATCAGCCATGTGTACCATGAATGTGTCTATTGTACACATAAGACAGTCTTAATTGCCTTTCTCTGAACTGTTTAGTGGTTTTTTTTTTGAACAAATTTTATTAATTTTTAAAAAACAATACACAAACAAAACATAGGATGTAATAACATAAAATATCTTTTCTAAAAAACAAATAAAACATCTTATTTAAAAACAAGATAATTCCAAATTATCACATTATACAAACACAATTTTATATATTTATCTTATCTGTTCAACTTCATATCTTTTCCCAACTTCTCTTTATTGCTCCCTTTCCTTCTATTTAATTGTATTTCTTTTACCTTAAATTATATATATTCATTGTATATAGTTTCATTAGTTCTCTTCCAACATCCTTTCAAACATAAGACAAACATTACACAAAACATAAATACATAAAACTTCTTTTTGGAAAGCGGCTTACCCTGGGTTAGATATCTTTTTGTACAGACATAAATCAAATTCGTGCTCACTTAATATACTATTTCATATCTTATTTAACATTCTATATTTTCTATGTATTTTCTCTCTCCTATTCACTCTTTTTATTTATTTCATCTCAATTTAAATACCGTATATACTCGAGTATAAGCTGAGTTTTTCAGCCCATTTTTTGTGCTGAAAAAATCCCCCTTGGCTTATACTCGAGTCAGATTCCCCTTGGAAAAAAAAATGGTGTGGAGTCACTGCCGCCGGAGCGGCCCCAGTCCCGCCGCCTCGGGAAGGGAAAGGCAAAGCACTTTTTGCCTTTCCCTTCCCGGCTGGGGCTGTTGGGAGTCGCTGCCGCCTGCCTTTCCCTTCCCGGCTGGGGCTGTTGGGAGTCGCTACCGCCTGCCTTTCCCTTCCCGGCTGGGGCTATGTGGAGTCGCTGCCGCCAGCGCGGCCCCAGTCCCACGTCGCCTCGGGAAGGGAAAGGCCACGGCTTGGAAGGCCGCCGCTGGAGCGAAGCTGCGCGCAGCCGCTGCGCTAGCATCGGATCGGGCGCGCCGGACGGTTCCGACCGAGCCCCGAGCGTCGTCTTTGGTGCCCGCCCAGCGCCGTGGAGCTCCCTGTACCGGGAGAAGGGGAAGACCCGCCCCCCGGGGCGGGGCAGGGAGAGGAGCTTCTCCCGCCCACCCCTCTTTCCGCGGCCACCGGTGTCCCCGCAGGACGACCCCCGCCCCGCAGTCGCCGCCGCTTGAAAGAGACGGGCCGGGGGTGGGTAGAAAGGCGCCGGGCGCCCTTGGAGGAGAAGGTCCCGCGTTCGCCTGTCTGCCCGCGGATGTCAGCGGAGCAGCCGCTGCTACGGGAACAGTTTACTGCCATCGCCTTCAAAAGGGGGGCAACCGGACAGGGAATCTGAGGGCAGCGCTCGTTGCATGCCGGAGGCGACAAGCCCCGCTCGGGTGGACGTGTTTGCCCAGAGACCCCGGACGAAGCAGCGGCAAAGCTCCCTTTCCCTTCCCGAGGCGACACGGGACTGGGGCCGCTCCGGCGGCAGCGACTCCCAACAGCCCCAGCCGGGAAGGGAAAGGCAAAAAGCGCTTTGCCTTTCCCTTCCCGAGGCGACGTGAGATAGTGAGATCGTTTCCCAAATTAATTATTTTTATTTTTGAAATTTACCAGTAGCTGCTGCATTTCCCACCCTCGGCTTATACTCGAGTCAATAAGTTTTCCCAGTTTTTTTGTGTAAAATTAGGTGTCTCGGCTTATATTCGGGTCGACTTATACTCGAGTATATATGGTAATTATACTTACATCTTTTGTTCCGGTTTTGCAAGGCTTCGGCGGCATCAGGAATTCGCGACTCTCCGCGATTCCTGCAGCGCTCACTGCCGAGGTGCCTCCGATCCAGATGGATCTGGAGGATATGGTTGCCCCGTAGAGGCAACCGAAGAGAGAGGGGATCCGGATTGGGGTTTGGGGGTATCGCAAACCCCCTCCTCAGCCGGCAAAACCCCTTTTTCCCAAGGCGGTGGAGCAGCGGTCTGCAATGGCCACCACAAAGAAGCCTGCAGCCGGGTAAGATTCGCGCAGGAGGAAGTAGGAGAAAGCGAAAGTGTTGGCTGAACCGGGACAACAAGAAATTTCTAAACACCCTGGCAACTAAATCGTTTGAAGGATACATTGTCTCCCAAAGAAGATTGTAAAAGCGGCGGAAGAAAACTGGAAAGGGAAAGTTATTTTCTTTCACTCTCCCTTCCCACAGAAACAGCAGATGGAAATCTGGAAAACCTGCTTGGGCATAGAAGGTAATCTAACTTGAAATTTAAAGCCAAGGGGATAAAGGATTTCTGGACATTGGAATTAAAAACCTAAAATTCTTTTTATTTGCTATAAGTGGAAGGGAAGAGGTAAAGACTTATTTTAAGATTGTACTGAAGGAGACTGCTTTGAGTTTATAAGATCAGAAATAAAAGATATTACGACTTCTAGAAGACTACTTTGGAACTGTGTATTTGAATTCTACCCTAGGAAGAGAAAATATAGAAAGAAGAAAGTGCTAAATGAAACTGTTTGCTCTGATTTGGTTTGCTTTGTGACTTTGGGATTTTTGTGAACTATTTCTTGAAAGATTAAAGACATTTGGGTTGTTGTTGTTTTTTTTAAATGGCATTATCTTTTGAAGAATTACAAATGGAATTTCAAAAATTGAAAGAAGAGGAACAAGAAGGCAAGGGCTCTTCTGGATCTATTTTCCACTTTTTAGAAATGGCGATTTCTACCTATCAAGAAATACAACAACGACAGGAAGGCTGGGATGAAGAAGAAGAAGCCATCTTTAATGGACAAATACTCTTAGTGGAGGAAGAAAAGCGAAAGGGGGGCAAGGAAATGGTGAACTCAGGACTTAAAAAAGCAACCAAGAAAAAGAAAAATAAGATGAAAAATCGATATGATGTCAGAAAGCAACAGAAAAAAGAAATACAACAGAGAGGGAAGACTAAGAGAGTGAAATCTGAGAGATGGGGGTGTCAAAAAGCTAGAATTGATAAGAAAGGAAGGGAAAAAGGAAAGAGAAGTCATAAAGGTTTTAAACAAGATGTTAAAAAACAGGTTTTTTCAGAGATAAGGGGTAAGATATAATTTTATAAAAATGATTCTGCAAAAGTACATAAGATTGTATTGTAGATATTAGTATTTGAAACTGAGTTAGAAAATTAAAATATTACATGAGTTAATAATACATTAAAGGGAAGCTATGAAAATGTTTAAGATTTAATAATAGAGTTTAATTTCCTATGAAACATTGTTCTTATTATACTATAAACTCAATATTCCCTTTTTTTGGTTTTATTACTACTTATTAAACTTAATATTATTTGCTTGTTTTATTATTTTGAAATGTAGTACTTAGAATATACGAAGCAGAATCAGTATGGAAAGTATGTATTATTTTAAGTGTTAAATTTAGGGGAAAGATAAAAAGTTGTCATACTTCAACCAGTGTTTACAGGAGAAACATTGTATTAGAAAGAAAGGATAAATAGATGATTGAACTGTTTAGTTTTGAATACATGAGATAGATACTTATAAGAAAAATAAAAACAATAGGACAAGGACGGTAGGCACGATTGGTGCGCAGTATAACAATATCAAACAACATGCAATCAGCTAAAAATACAGCATGAAGAAAACCCATAGTTGCAAAAACACAGCAATACAAAACTACAGTGTGGCAATCACAATAAAGAGCAACAAAACATTATCAATAGGACTATTTAAAAAATAAATTGTTGGGAAACTATTTAAATTACTTGGCTCCAAAAACAGCTTAGTGTTAGATGGCAGGCAAGATCCTCCAGGAAGGAATTGCAGGAACAAGGTGCAGCAATGGAAAAGGGAGGGAGAGGGAGGTCTTTTTTTGAATAGGAAAGAAATCTTACCAAAAGCACCAAGAAAAAAAGATCTCTCATCCCAATTTATTCACAATATCCAATGCACAAATATGAATCACCAGCGTTACCTTAAGAATCTCCCCGTAAATCAGGACCTCCTCTTCCTCCGGCATTTTGCTGTCACCTAATACGCTAGACAAGGTCCACTTCAGGGGTTTCAAAATGAAGACTCCCACACCCCAGGAGATCCAGCTACTGTCCACACTGGCCATGAAGTCAGACTCTCTTTGCAGTTTGCCCCGTCTAAAGACATACAAATGAAAAGTAATGCATTTCAGGGAAGCCAAAATAAATACTTCACACAATCTGCAAAAAGATAAACCAGGATGGTCTACCACATGGCAGTTTGAAAAGCTACTCTGTGGCTTAAAATGATTAGGCCACTGTTGTTAGAGAGAATGAGGTTGCCTGCCCACAGACTCCTGAGTAAGGAGAAAAAATATATATATAACTGATTTCATGAATCCATAATTCTAATCAAAGCTTTCTTTCATTTATCCAAGGACACACATCGGCAATGAATTGTATTTTCCCTTAATATATTTGGGAATCTGAAAGGAATTGAAATGGTTTAATGTCATGCAAATACTTCACTTTGATGATTCACGTGAAAGTGAATCATCAAAGATAATTTGCCTGGATTTTTATTTTTTCTTATCAACTTCCATAACACAATGCACTGCCCAAGCAAATATTACATGATTTGGGGATATTATATTTTCTGAATGCCGACTCAAGAGGTGATTAATTTTCTTTAACGTATGGAACTCTTGTAATCCTGTTGCAGCTATTTTGAAACACTCACCACCTTAACTTTTTTTTTAAAAAATCCCCATTTTCTTTAAACAATTAAAAAAACTTTTTAAATGATTAAACTGCCTGTCTTTTACATATGTTTACTGTGTAGTTTTAAGAAGCTGAGTTTCTTAAAAGTATTTAACATATGAAGGTGTCCTAAAAGGTGTAATAACTTTAAATATAATTACAGTAACAAAGTTTGGATTAGTTTAAAATTGTTACATACAGCACACTGTTCAGAATATTTATCAGAACAGTAAATAATCCAGTTAGCAGAGAAAGAGAGACACACAATCCAGTGGGAAAGAAATCATGTTGCCACTCAATTTGTAACCTTTTCTTCCAGCAAAAAGCAAAGTTTGGCAGATTCTTCAAATTAATATACAATTGTTTCCCTACACTTACAAAGCTGAATTTAGTCATTATTTGATGAAAGAAATTCTTAACAGCACAAACCGCACATATAAAACTGCAAGTGACCGTTATGATAAAATGGAAGTTAAGAGTCTGAGTGCAAAATGCCAAGAACAAACAAAACTGAGAATTCCACAAGCTAACACACTTAAATCACTGAGCAAATAAAGATAAATTTAAATAGAAACATAAGATATTTATACTAAGAGAGGGAGAGATTTAAGTATTTGTGCATATGTGATTATATTTATATATGATAACAGATTATGTGTGTATGTGTAGATAGATATTGTATCCCAATATTTCTTAAACTTTTTGTTCTGGTGAATTTTTTCCACTTTTAAAAATTACAGAAGACCCCAAAAAGTTTTTGTTGGCATGGCTTCTATTTCTTTATATTTACCATATTAAAAACAGATATGCATTTGTTGAACATTTACTGAATCATATAAAAAACAATATTAAACTCATTAGATATTAACATAAATTAAAAAAAATAATTTTTAAAAATTAAACATAACAATTAAAAAACATTGAAGGTAGTACAGTCTTTTTTACATAACTTTGGTCATCATTCTAGTGAAACATAATATAGATCTTATATACATATACATATACAGATAACACATATACATACATACATACATTTATTTATACTTACATATTTTATCACTTTGTGTTATTTAAGTCTCATGATCACAGATATCCAACATAAATAAAATATTTTTCTTGAAGAAAAGAATGACAAGGTTTACATTTTTGCAAACATCTCCAATATCTGGCAAATAATTTTGATTTCGGGGATCCCTTGAGTTTCTTCCCCTCCTCTTTGAAACACATTTTAATAAATAATGGATATATCTCATAATGATATGAGGTCAAAGACGGCCTCCCCTTCTTCCCCTTCCTGGAAAATGCAGGCCTTAGAGTGAAACTCTGCGAGGCTGTCAGCACATGCTCAGAGGCACTCTCGCCCCCCTCCCCCACCCCGAAACCGAGCGGCCCCGCCGGCCTCACCTGAGCAGCTCACGGAGGACGGTGCCCAGGCCGAGGGGGACGCTCCCCCGGCGCTCGAAAGCCTGCTGGAGCTCCCTCAGGCAGGTGCAGATCCTTCCTTTCCGCCTTCCCCATTTCAACACCAGCTCGCTCCAAAAGCCCATCTTGCTGTCCCACTCGGTGGCGTTAACCTCCCGGCTCTGTTTGAAAGCCGAGAACAGAAACGCCATGCGTTCTTCATCCGTTTCCCACTCTAGCGGCAGGTCCACTTCCGGGGCCGGAGCGACCCGCGCCTCCTCCGGCGAAGACATCTACGCGAGCCCCCGGCTTCTCTCGGCCTAGCTACCCTTCGCCTGAGCGGGCGTTCGCCGACAGTGAAAAGCGCATGCGCACGGAGACAAAAACCAGCCAACGACACCCGGAGCGCAGAGATAGAAAAGAACAGAGGTTTTAAATGGCCGCATTGTTCACACCTAATCGAAGGCAACTGAGAAAGGGCGCCCACATAGAGCTACGAAGAAGACAAGATACGCATCTACCCTTTGCCCAGGCTGAACCTGAGTGCTTTCAAACCCGGGAACAGTACAAATATTCCTGCTAAACAACGAAGTTGTGGGTGTTCCATCCCTGGAAGCTTTCAAAATTGGGCTGCCATTTGTCAAGAAATAGTGTAGGGTGTCCCGCTTGGGCAGGGGTGGGTTGGACTAGATGACCTACAAGAGCCCTTCCAATTCTGTTAATCTGTTAAGATTCCTTTCAAGTCTGTTATACTGTTACTTTATCTGAATCCTGTGAATTGTTTAAAGGAAAAACATTAAGCATTAACATTTGACATGTTCATTATACTTCTATTGCAGGCTGTGGCGATGAAAAAGGCCCGTGCAACAACAATCCTGCAATGTTGATTGCTGTTAATTACTGCACTTTAAAACATAGCAAACCATCTTTGGTCTATCCCCAAAGTGCTTTTTCAAAGGGCAAGTGGACTTTGGTTATTATTTTTTTCTTGAAGACATTTTGTTTCTCATTCAAGAAGTTTTTTCAACTCTGACCTGTTTTTGGTCTAATTTTTTTTTTGCTCCCTTTTCTATGAGAGGCCTTTAGTGAATGCTCTCCTTCCCTTCCCCACTTCCTACAGCTAGATAAAAGTGGAGTTTCCAAGACTTTTGATGACACCTAACCATGGTTTATTCAGTTAAGAATCAGGAAATGCCTTTGAATGCCAGCCTTATATGTTAGTCCGGGGTTGCAAGACAGGCAACCGCTGCTCTCTGTGTGTGCATGCAGAGAAGCTCCATATTTATCATTAATTCCCAGGAAATAGTTCACACTTCAGCCTTAAAGCCAAACCCAAACAAAATGAAAGAGAAAATGGAATTCAAACTTTCTTCAACGGCCCCTACTAAACTCATTGTGAAAGTGAAATGTGAAAGTAGAAACGTTCAAGAACAAGAAACATTTAAGAACAAACAGCATGAGCTGAGGGGCTTTGATCTAGATAAGGTCACAAAAGCACCAAGGGGAGCAAGAATCCAGCATGGCAACGTGGATAATGTCCTTTTCTATTGTCTTTGCCTTCTCAAGGTCACCAAGGTGAGTGAACGTCTCTGCTTCCTTTAAACTCAGGTACAGCACAGGGCGAGATTCAGTTTCCTGATCTTTTTTTCCTTGCAAAATGACTCGGTTATTAACAGCTGTGAGCTGTAATTATCTTTGAATTTTATACATCCAAGGAATCTCTGTGGATGGAGGCTTTCCTGATAGACTTCTGCAGTGCTGATCTTTCCAGGGCAGGGGCTAAATTCAGAGTTTCTGCAGTTAACCAGTGATTTCAAAAATGATCTGAATCAGTTAAGAGGATCCTGTATCCCTGAGTCCTATGTTTTTTATATGAATGATTGATCATGTTGTTGTTGTTAATTGTGAAGTCATGTCCAACCCATCGCAACCCCATGGACAATGTTCCTTCAGGCCTTCCTATTTTCTACCATCCTCTGGAGTCCATTAAGTCAGGGGTCTTCAAATTTGACAGCTTTAAGACTTGTGGACTTCAATTCCCAGAATTCCTCTTC